TAACGCGAAGCGGGAGCCGGACATTCCTAAAACCCAATAGAGTAGGACTTGAATGTATTTCGCCTCGCTCCCCCCAGCTCCAGCCAATTACAAAATTTAAGAAGGAAATATAGGTAGTATATGACAGCCGTCAATAGAAATCAAGCAGATTGACATTTTAAAAAAAATCAATCCCTTAACTTTCATAGCTTATATCTCGATGAATTTTGAGGTTATTTTGATGAATTAATATCATAATGATAGCCTCAAAATTCATCGAGGTATGTTATGAAAGTTAATGGATTCATTTTAAAGTAAAAACTAAACTATATGCTGTATAGCATAATATATATATACTATATATATATATATAGATTATAATATACAACTTATAACTTAAACTCTATAAATTTTAATATTAAACATGTGAAATTCTTTATAGTTTATATAAATTTAAAACAAATAAACATATTACCTGCTGTAGTAAAGTGGTGGAAACATGCGGCTGTTGCCACAGTCATATGTCCGATACCCGCTACGTAGTAGTTTGTCAACCCTGCTGACGAGTTATAGTGACATTACTAGCATTGCAATATAGCCTTTAGTTGTTTTACTTAAAAATTTTGTGGGAACAAATTTTCTAAGAAGGAAATAATAAAATTTAATAGTATATTTTTAGTATTATATTATAGTATGTTGTACGTTATTTAAGCTATCTAAATTATAAATGACACGCGGCAATTTATTAGCTTGTATATAGCATAGTATTTATTGTTTATAAATATTTTCGTGATTTCTTTTGTTGTTTGGATGTGATTGGTCCTTTAAAAGGCTTATCTTATATTAAAGACTGGGAGATACATTATAATTCTTTGACTTATGTGTTCTTTTGATTTTTTTTTTTGTTTCCTTGCAAAGCCACTCCTCACCTCCATGAAGGTAATAAATTTAACATAGACTTAAGTTATCCAGATTAAATTGCTTTAAACTTTGGGTCTCTAAAAAATTTTTTTCATTCACAGAATTTATTTGCAATAATTTTCTGATGATACGTTTCCTAAACATATTTATTAAAATACTTTGCTGTAAATATTTCTTGACTGAAGAATCAATAAGATGATTTCTCATAAGAAAATAACCAATCCAGAAAGATCTTTATCTGAATCGGCAGTTGTTGAAACGACAATCTCAATTATTTCAAGTGATATTGACTCATCACCTAAACCAGAAAAAAATAATAATGATAATGATTTAGATGGTAGTAACAAAATAACCAATGAGGTTGCGACATATGGTTCGCTTTGTAATTTTAGAGATTTACCTTATTGGTGTCAAGATAATCGTGATATAGTCAGTGGTACGTTAGTTGATAGTGGGAATCTAATAAGATTTCGTCCAGTAACAATCTTTTTTGTAATTTCTTAGGATACCGAAGGCCAACATTATCATATCTCAAATGCGCATATTCATTATTTTACATTCATAATGAGTTTAGTAAGTTTAACTATTATTGATTGATTACTTATCGTTATTACTGTTTTCAACTTAGTTGAGAGTCCCATAGTTACAATGTAGAAATTACCTAAATTTGTCATATTTTGTAGAATTCATTTAATACTTTATTAAAATCTGCCTGGTTTGCTCCGATTCTAATAGTCGAAAATAATTATTACATATTTGCCTTAATCTCCAGTTCCGGGCTCAAATATATGCTAAGACAATTATACGAATAATTAAAATTTTTTTAAAAAAGTGCTCATTAAATGAGTTTTGAAAATACAATAAATTTATCTATATTGTAATCACGGGACTCAAAAATCAAAATCAATCAAATCGAAAACAGCGGTTATTATATCTTAAGAAAAAATATATACAATTAATATATTAACATTAAAACATTTTAAAAGTTAATATATGGTCACATCTCTTAGGAGCCATAATATTTATTTGCCTTGCATTCACAACACATTTTTACGTGTTATCAAGGCAATCAACAATCACTTGGCAAGATTTTTTCGTGCTTTATATGTTTTTGGCCGGTGCTATGGTTTGCTTAGGGCTTAGTTCGATCTTTCATGTATTATGCTGCCATTCTGAAAGAGTAAGCCTCCACTAAACACTAAATGTGTCAATGAATTTGATGAAAGTTGTGAATCAATTGCCTTGTTCAATAATATTCTTTTGTAGGTATGCGCTAATTGGAATAGGTGCGATTATATTGGTATCGTGTTTTTAATTGTGTAAGTTTCATATTTCCTATACAAAACTTTTTTTTTTATTGAAACCATAAATTAATAAAAACTTCTAGGGGATCGCTTTATCCAATGATATATTATGGTTAGTTATATTGTATTTATTACACGTATTCACTAGACTTTTGATATGAACATTTATAACGAATTTTCTTTTTTATGAAGGTTTTTTTTGTAATGATTCTTTAAAAATTTTTTATTTATCACTTATAACTGTTCTTGGAATTGCTACGGTATGTACTTGTAAATAAAATTGCATCATAATATTTAACGCTTTAGTATGAATCTTATTACTTTTTTTTAGACATGTCTAGCAGTATCCCCAAAATTTAGGTATCCACAATTCAGATGGTTTCGAACATTGTTATTTTTAGCTATGGGATTAAGTGCTGTCATACCAATGACTCATGCTGTAGTTCTTTATGGAGTATATATTTTATTTAGATTTAAAGATATTCCTCAACTTATAAAGATAGTGTGTTAACGCCATGATAATATCATTTTTTCTATTACAGGTTGAACTTTGTTTTTTTGTGATCTCGTTAAAATGGTTATTACTAACTGGCATACTTTATATTGCAGGGGCATTAGCTTATGGAGCAAGGTATGTCACCTACAGTATAATGTGTAGTATAATGTGTAATTGTGAAAAATTTTTTATCAAAGATATTGGTCATAAGCGAGGATGGTTTTAAATAGATTAATTATTGTATTTTAATCATTTTAATTTAGAATACCAGAAAGATGGTATCCCGGAAAATTCGATATTTGTGTAAGCCGTGCCTGTTTCTTTTTCTTTTTCTTTTCTTTTTAAAAATATGTAACACTTGCCAAATAATTTGTAGGGTTCATCGCATCAGATATTTCACTTGTTTGTAGTAGCAGCTGCATTGGTGCATTATTATGGTGTCGTGCAATCAATGATATACTGGCATAAAGAAAACTATGAATGTTCGTTGGATATTAAATCGATGAAAATTTAATTAATCGACTAGTATCTTACAATATAGTCAGATTATTCTGTTTCAAATGTTGTTAGTATAAATTAGAAATTATTGTTATTTTAATTAAATTGCCAAGGTACCATTTAACTTTAAGATTCTGGTACGATTTTCGAAAACCACTTTATCATACTCTAAAATATGATTGGTTAATATCAGATATGTCGGTGAAACATCTAATTAGTGCAGAGCAACCTTTTCAATGTTAACAATGAAAATCTTTAATAAAAAATAGTGTAATTACAGTATTATTGTAAACTAAAACATAAATTTCTTGGTGTTAGTAATTTGGAAAGGCTTGGCCAACCTATTAGATATAAGAACTTTTCATGATGTTACAGTATTAGCTTATTAGTTGTTACTGCTCTAAAAGGCATTTAATTTGGTAAAGCATTATTTAATGCTAAACGATCCTAATTTTCATATTTTAAAACGTATAAATACCACTCACTATATTGTAAATGATTGATCAACCAAAAGATTATTCTATAGGAGTTAAGCATCCCAAGGAAATCTTAAATTGTCGATTGAGCACTATAGAATTTTGTTACGATTTATGTATTTCTTTAAATTAATACGGCATATTTTAGCTAACGAATGTATGAAACACATATATGATCATTATTAATAAATGGATAACCAGATAAACCGATTAGTAATCTGTAATTCGTACAAGAACTTTTGAAAATTAAATTTCCCAATTCATTGTTGCGGTATTTCACCATCAGTTTTTGTTGCAAATTTAACTAGAACTAGAAAATTATTCGTTCGTCTTCCGAAAAAAGACTTGTTTATTTGTCTAACGTCATATTTTAATTTAATGTATTATTAATATTAGGGGTAATAAGTTTTCTTTTTTCCGGTGATATGGTGACACATTTGCAAAACCATTATTATCCGATAGTACGTATCTGATAGTAAATTTTAATGAACAGACCAAGCCTTTCAAGTTAAAGTGTATTTCTTGTGATCCCTAAATTTACACAAATTGTTGACATCCGCTTATCATCTTAAAACTGCTTTATGGAGAATTGAAAACCAAACTCTAGGATGCGTACAATAAAAAAAGGTAATCTATATCTTATCTTTATTTTTATTATTATTTTGATTAACGTTTAATTATTTATTATTATTATTAACTAATAAATTGCCAGTTGTTTTATATCGATATATAACATATATATATAAATTTTATGCTCGCGTACGCCCCGAAAGTATGTAACGGTTACATGAAAAAAACAAAAAATTTCGTGACAAATATGCAATTGAGATTGATATTATCTATTGCAAAGGGGTTTAAATCAAGATCCGACAAACAGAATCCTGACAAAAATTGACCGGAATTATAGTCAATGCTAATCTAATGCGGGCCAACCTGTCAGAATTTTGACCTTGCCGAGATTTTGTTTGTTGGGATTTTTCCCAGAAATTGAGCAAATTAATTTATATGCTTCTTCGGCTGGCTATTCAAATTTTAAGATCAGGCATAACGCAAAAGGAAAAAAACGATCCAAGAAATCGATCATGACGTTTTACCTATGAAACTGCCTTCTGCAAATTTTCTCGTAATAGTAAAGCACTTTCTACCTAATATTACGGCAAAACCTAATTTAACTGTGTAAGCTGTTAACGTACGTACGTATTGGATGGTAAATCAACTAAGTAATCCAAATTATATAAGCAATATTAGTAATTTTATTAATGATCAGAATTTTGGCAATAAAAATTAAAATTACCATTTGAATATACTGTAATTGGCTTTAATTATAAAGAAAGCCAAACACTTAAAACACTTAATAAACAACTTGTGAAAATTTTTAGGCATTCCTTATTATGTTGGTACAATATATTCATTTTAAAATATGACAAGTATATATATAATTTATTAATATTGACCAAAATAATTTACATCCTCATATTGGTTTAAGGATTTTTATTAGACTGCTAGTATATAATACAATATCTGAAAGTTGCTTGGGATATTCTTAGGATTATTTTCGAAAGTTCAAGCAAAATTTTATAACTTATAATTGAATGTAGGTAGGTAGTTTTATAGCGATAAAAGCTAGGTTGCAAATTATTATTTATTTATTATTAGTAGAAAAAAAAACCAAAATTTCCAATTTTATGAATTTTGCAGATTTTAAAACGCGATAATAGAAATAAAATTATATAAAATATTAAAAATGTTAAAAAAATGGTTTAATAAAAAATATATACTAGAAATATTGTAGGCTATATTATAATTATTTTAAATATTTACTAATTTATGATAAATTCTAAAATCTAAAAAGTAATTTTAAACTACATATTTAGATATCTTTTGGATAATAGATACGTTAAAATTTTTACATATTAATTTTATTTGTAAAAATAACCCAATTTTTTAATAAAATTATTTTGCTTTTCTAATAACTTTAAATACTTCATATTCATCCACTGAAAAATTTTTAATATATGCGTTTAAAATGGATCTTTTATACGAGTATCGTTGATAAAAGCATTTCTTAGCATAATTGAAATTACCGTACATGCCAAGATCAACAAACGTAGGTCCATAAGTAGAATGAACATAAAGTGCATGTTCTGGTATTTTTACGCGACTTAAAATTGATTCGTCAACAAAATCTTTGTTTAATGAGAAAATAAAGCTTTCGCTACATCTCATTTGTCCATTATGATTTTTATCCCATTTAAGTGGATTATATCCTCCAAGAATTTCATCTGCGCCTTTGACCTTCATGATAACAACTGTATTTTCTTGTTGATCACATAATTTCCAGAACGAATCTGGTGTGAATCCGTCGTTACTTCCACGAAGAAGTAATTTAAATTCATAAGGATTGTTCTTTATATCATATGTAACTGCTTTTTTATCAATCCATGATGCAATTTTAGCCATGTGTTTTTTATCAACTATTGTTGAAAGTGGACTTTTTGGTTTTGATTCAACACGAGAAGGTCCAGGTTTCCGGTTAATTATATTATTCCAAAGTTGTTGCTCAAATACTTGCTTATACGGTCCTACTTTTTTGGCAATGTCATCATTAGAAATTTTAAAGTATCTTATTGATGGTAAGCAACTTTTTATGGAAATCTTTAAAGCTTTAAAGTTTTCTTGTGACCAGTTTTTAGGATTAGATGATAACTCTGAATTTTGTGCAATTCCCCATTTAATGACATAATTCCAAACTTTTAATTCTTCTACCGCCAAATCTTCCTGTTTAATAAGCCAAGATAATGCATTTTCTTGAAGTGATTTAAAGTCATTCGATTCAAAAATCAGGTTTGGATACTTTGCTACGGTGTTGTCGCACCATTCTCGTAATCTCTGAAGCTTGTTATTTTTTTGAAAAGTTTCTTGATAAACATAAACAAATTGTTGATATAACCAAGAAGTTCTGTTTTTAATTAAATAAGATTCAAGGTATTTTGCCAATTCTTCAAGAAGAAATTTATAAGCAACAATCGTGAGCTCAAAAATAAATGACCCATCATAATCTTCTAATAAAACTACGCCACCATAAATATACCTTTATTCAAATTTTTTTATGTTAATTAACTTGAAATTTTCATTCTTCGAATTGAAATATTATATAACCTACTTGATTAAAATTTCAAATTGCTGAGTCGAAACATCGTTTAAATAAATTGTTTTTATATCATTATCTTTGCCTGTGTTGCTTAATTTCCCACGGAAATAAGAAGAACGAGATTTCAAAATTGCAGAATGTGCTCTAAATTTTTTGGCATATGTTTCTGATTCACCAACTTCAATAATTACATTATAATCTTCTTTTTCGTTAAGAAGTTCAATATAATTATTCGAAAGATTCTCTGAAAAACTTTCATGCATTTTTTACAAAGAAATAAATTACTTGTTTTAAAATAACGGATGGAAGTTTTTTTTTTTTTTCCTATTACTTATCAGTTATGTAACAAAAAAGTTACGTACATACGTACGTGGCAAGAGCATCAAAGTCCGCATTTTTAAACATAATTTTGTCACACGTTTTGCATAAGATCTGTTTTTTTTTGTGACTCCGTAAACCCATTCTTATTTTCCACTTGTTTAATTAAGGCTGCTCAGGCCTACAAGCAAAAAACTTTGATTGGCAAATTTCATGGGAATTTCTAAAATATTTCTAGAATGAAAAATAACAAATTGATATGCATAATCATAACATACGTACATACATACGTACATATAACTTATGAATCCAACTGATTTTTTTGACAAAGAAAATTAGAACTAATTCTAAACCGGTGAAAAATAAGTATCTATTCCGTATTACTGATTATCTTATTATATAGCCACTTTAGTATCGATTATTAATACTTTCCGCTTGAATAGTGATTTTTAGAACTAATTAAGATTATTCTCGATACATCTCTTTTTTAGGAAAGTGTTACAAACGCGTAAATACATAATGATAATAAATAAATAATAAAACAAGTGTATTACAAAACTTATTATTTTTACATTGTACTATATTGGTTCTATAATTAGTAGAAGATGCCTAAAATGTTTTTTTTTTCTTTGTTGCTATATTTTATATCTATATATCTGATATGGTATATATGTTGGACGTACGTACGTACGTACGTTGAAATAATATCTTGCTAAATTCAGAATCTACTTAACAGTAACGGTAAGTAGATTTATGATACGTACGTGTAAAATGAACTTACGAAATTTTAAATTGGTTAAACTAATGCAAATTTCATACCTAATTAATCTGTTTTATCTATTTAGTCTATTTAATCTATTTAATCTAATTAATCTATTTAACAATATTCAATTTTTCATTTAAATCGCATTATAAGTATTATTTATTTTCCAGAATAGAGAAATAATGAAATACCTCCCCATTAGTTATGTGGGAGTCCCATACATGCGCCGTTGAGGAGATGTTTCAATGATTTCCTTGGCGCGGTAGAATAAACGTGTTGTTTATAATGACATGACGAGGATCATTTCT